CCGTGGAAGGACAGCTACAGGCAGTGAATAGGCCTTCCCCATCAAATAAGAACAATCCCTAAACGTAACAAGTGGTCCCAGGGTCCCAACTGGGATGATAATGCCCCTGTATAGGTCTATGGTGCAGCCTCATTTGGAATAATGTGTACAGTTCTGGTCACCGCACCTCAAAAAAAGATATTAAGTTTACGTTCTTAATCATTAAGTTGGTTCTTTTATTTCTTAATATTTTATATATGTAATTTACAAAGATCACAAGTTACAGTTAGTAATCGTTGACTGTTATGCATACGAACACTATTTGTTACTGTTTTGCTTTACCAAACTATGTTTGTACACTTTTTTGTCAGCTATTCTTTGTATATCAATAAAATTTATTGTATAAAAAAAACAATGAGGGCACATTGACACCCTAACCTACATGAATTTTAATAACCATTCCTCCTGATTGGTGTAGTGGTTAAGTGCACGGACTCTAATCTGGGAGAACTGGGTTTGATTCCCCACTCCTCCACTTGCACCTGGCTGGATGACCTTGGGGAAGCTGTAGTTCTGATAAGAGCTGTTCTTGAAAAAGAGCCGTTTCTGTCAAGAGCTCTCTCAGCCCCACCTACCTCACATTTTTTTTTTTCTTTTCAAAAAGATTTTTATTTTCTGTTTGGTCACATATTTTTCATCTTTTTATCCAACAGTTACAAAAACCCGTTTCCCCCCCTTCCCCCAAAAAGGCTTCCCGCAATGCGTCTCCCTCATGTCTCGTATAGTCCGTAAACTCAAGATAACATCACATAGTTAATATTGTTCTAGACATAGTAAATTATGTTTCACGTCCCAGTTTTTTTCTAGATATGATTTAAAGTCATTCCATTCTTCAAAAAATTTTTGGTCTTCTTCGTTATTCAACTTTTTCGTTATTTTGTCCATTTCGGCCCGCACGCGTGGAAAATTTTAGTTCTACAGATGGCTGCCTGTGGGCATGCCCAAACTGACAGAGGAAAAAACAACACCGACGCACGCTCCCGCGTGTGGACGGCGGGGAGCAATGTGGCTGCGCAGCAATCCGGAGCAAGGAGGTGAGTGTGATTGCGATTCTCAAGGTTAAAAAAAAAAAACGCATCAGGGCTGGAGCAATTTAAATCACTCCCAGCACGTGCCGTCTGACCGCACCCAAAGAGGCACTTTAGTTTGAAGAAATGACGACAGAGGGGTGACATGACAGAGGTTTACAAGATTATGCGTGGGATAGAGAAGGCAGAGAAAGTACTCCCTTTCTCACAATACAAGAACAGAACTCGTGGGCACTCAAAATTAATAAGCAGCAGGCTCTGAACAGATCGAAGGAAGTACTTCTTCACCCAAAGAGTCATTTATTATTATCCTTCCTTTCTCCCCAGTAGGAACCCAAAGTGGCTTACATCATCATTCTCCCCTCCTCCATTTTGTCCTCACACAAACTCTGTGAGGTGGAAGACCAACAAAACCTAATTCTGGGTATAATCTTTCGCATGCACACGGAAGCGGATACCCAGAAGTAAACTCTGTCCGTCTTAGAAGTGCCACTGGACTCCAACTTTGTTCTGTTGCTTCAGACCAACATGGCTGCCCACCTGAATCTACCTGTGAGGGAGGTTAGGCCGGGACTGCGTGACTGGCCCAAGATTGCCCAGCGAGCTTCCGCAACGGAGTGGAGGTTTGAATCCAAGGCTCCAAGATCCAGTCTGACGCCCTAGCCACCATCCCATGTCAGCTCAGTGGGGTGGGATTTGCTAGACACTAGACGCAACTAGACAGATTGTACCAGAATTTGGTCGCTGGCAAATCCTTACAAAATGAGGAAGGGGAGATGAGCAAAGACTTCCCCTTGCTTATGTCTCCCCACTCCCCCCCCCCACCATTAATCTTTGGCCAGTTTGGTGTCGTGGTTAAGTGCGCGGACCCTAATCTGGGAGAACCGGGTTTGATTCCCCACTCCTCCGCTTACACCTGGCTAGATGACCTTGGGCAAGCCGTAGTTCTGGTAAGAGCTGTTCTTTAAAAAGAGCAGTTTCTGTCAGAGCTCTCTCAGCCCCACCTACCTCACAGGGTGTCTGTTGTGGGGAGGGGAAGGGAAAGGAGTTTGTAAGCCACTCTGAGACACCTTTGGGTAGTGAAGGGCGGGCTATAAATCCAATCTCTTCTCTTCTTAAGAAATGACAAGCATTATAATGGGAAATAAATCCCCTTTGGAAGAAGACAAGAGATTGGATTTATACCCTTACCCTTCACACAGAGTCTCAGAGTGGCTTACAATCTCCTTTCCCTTCCTCTCCCCACAACAGACACCCTGTGAGGTAGGTGGAGCTGAGAGAGCTCTGAGAGAACTGCTCTTGAGAGAACTTGTGACTGACCCAAGGCCACACCAGCAGCTGCATGTGGAGGAGTGGGGAATCAAACCCGGTTCTCCCAGATTAGAGTCCGCGCTCCTAACCACTACACCAAACTGGCTCTTTAGTGGGGCTGTTTCTGAGTAAACATAGTGAAGACTGAGCTGCAAACTTTGCCTGGCATTCACATTCTCCAACTGGAATAATTACGTAGATGCCCTGCAGTTGCCATATCAAAGAACCGCGTGCTTTGTTTCATGTACTTAGCGAGGCAACTAGCTAGTTTTATTCCTCCAAACTGCAGCTCCCTTGCATCGCATGGCATGACCTAAAAGGATGATGTGAAGGTATGGAAGAATAATAGGCTGATCAAAGGTAAAGTGGGCCACGATCCTGTATTTTTAATGGGTGTGCAAAAAATGGGTCCCCCACCACAGGTGCGCTTGCACCTGCTGAAATGGAGCCTTTTGCATAACTATGAAAGATGCAGAAGTTGCTGTGCTGGCCATATTGCGGAAAGGCAGGATATAAATCTCTTGATCAGGGGTCATTTCTTGCAGGAGCGCACAGGAGCGGAGCTCTGGTAGTAAAGTGCCCAGGGGGCAGGTACATGCAACAAGCCCCATCCCCTGCTCCCAGCAGCCCTCAGTCAGAGCAAGAAGCAGCCAGGTAAGTTGCAGAGCCCCCCCCCCCGGCCAAAACAGTCCAGTGGCACCTTTAAGACCAAGTTTTATTCAGGTACAAGCTCTCCCTCCTCTGCGAGGACAGATCTGCACGTTCCTCCCCCCCCCAATAGCTACCAATCCAAAACCGTCCAGTGGAGCCTGAGCGGTGGGTGTTGCCTTCTGACACACTTCCGGTGATGTCAGCGGGTGTGGCATATGCAAATAAGTTATGCTAATGAGCTCCTGCACCACTTTTTATATGAAATGACCCCTGATCTTGATTAAATCAGTAAATACAGGGGTGCCAGGTCCAGGGTGGGACATTCCTGGAGATTTTGGGGTGGAACTCGGAGAGGGCACCGTTTTGGGGGATGGAGGGACCTCAGAAAGGTATAATGCGCCCTGACCTGGATAGCCCAGGAAAGCCCGATCTCGTCAGGTCTCAGAAGCTAAGCAGGGCCGACCCTGTCAAGTACTTGGAAGGGAGACCTCCAGAGAATACGAAGGCTGAGAGGCCAGTGACAGGCTATCAAGCTACTTCTCTGAATGTTCTCCGTGCCCCGGTAAGAGTTGCCATGGGCCCACACACACGCTTGCATGCACACAAATGCAAAAACACCAAAATTTAAAAAGCCCCCCTCCAAAGCCGCCATTTTCTTGAAGGCAACTGATCTCTGTCATTTGGAGAGCAGTTGTAATTCTGAGAGCTTTCCAGGCACCAACTGGAAGTTGGCAACCCTATTTATTTTATTTATTTATTTATACATTAGACTTTATATCCCGCTCGAACCCCTTTTCAGGGGTCTCTGAGCGGCTTACAGGTCGGTGCTAGTCACCATTTATATGGGAGCCCCACCCTGACATGCGCGTCACCCGGAAGTGACATGATGACGCCGAGCAGGCTGGGGGCGGGGCCACGGTCATCCGAGGGAAAAGGATGGTCGTGGCCCCGCCCCCAGCGTGGCTGGCATCGTCACTTCCGGGTGATGTGCGTGCGGCATGCGCGTGCGCTCCAGCCGCCAGCCGGGAGTCCCCCGCTGCGGCGCAACACCGGACTTGGCAACCCTAGCCCACGTTTGAGCAGGGGTTTTTCAAGCATTCGACCTTCAGGGAATGCCTCCCACCAACTTACGCCAAGGAATCCCATAATGCCTGCCACACAGCCTCTAGGTGGGGCCTGGGGATCTCCTGCTTTTACAACTGATCTCCAGCTGGCAGAGATCAGCTCCCCTGGAGAAAATGGCTGCCTTGGAGGGTGGGCTCTGTGGCCTTGTCCCGTGCTGAGGCCCCTCTCCTCCCCAAACCCCGCCCTCTCCTGGCTCCACCCCCAAAGTCTCCAGGTATTTTCCAACTCAGACCTGGCAACCCTACACAGAACCCCACTGAGAGATTTCACTGCATGTTCTAAGCCACATGCAAAGTTTATGCTAAACGTTTCAGCATCTCGTTTTCCAACTCTCGCTGCCTTGTTCTCTTCCCTCTTTCCCCCTTAGATATAGCATTTCCCATCTTTATTCCTTCTATAGTTTTGCTGCTTCTTTCTCTGTAGGATTCCACACACCCCCATCCCTCATGTTAGGGTTGCCAGCCTCCAGACGGTGGTGGGAGATCTCCTGGGATGACACCTGGTCTCCAGGCGACAGAGATCCGTTCCCCTGGAGAAAATGGCTGCTTTGGAAGGTGGACTCCGTGCATGTTAGGGTTGCCAGCCTCCAGACGGTGGCGGGAGATCTCCTGGGATGACACCTGGTCTCCAGGCGATAGAGATCCGTTCCCCTGGAGAAAATGGCTGCTTTGGAAGGTGGACTCCATGGCATTATAGCCCATTGAATCCCCTCTCCTCACCCAAATGCCGCCGCCCTCAGGCGCCATTCCCAAAATCTCCAGGCATTTCCCAACCCAGGCCCGTAGCTACAGTGGGGGCATTTTGGGGCCTGGCCCCCCGACTTCCTGCCACGGCCCCCTGACTTCCATGCAGCCCCCCAACTCTCTGGGCCGCCTGGAAGAATCCCCACGGCTGCCCCTTCCCCAAGCGCAGCTTGCTTCCCCACGTAGGCAAGCAGACTGCAAACGCTGCAAAGGTGAGTTTTTTAAAATTTAATTTTTTTTATTTTGTGACATCAGTGCCCCCCCTGATTTATTTAAAGGACCCCCCCCGAATGACAAAATCCTGGCTACAGCCCTGTCCCAACCTGAGGCAGGAAACCCTGCCCCACGCACATCCCCAAGGACGCATCTACAGTGGGGCACCTCGGGGCTAGGCCCCCTGATTTAGTAGCAAGGCCCCACAACTTCCCATCCAGCCCAGGGCCCCCGAGTGGCGGCAGGTGATGGGAAGGAGCCGGGTGTTCCTTTAATTCGATTAGCCAGTGTTCCCTAAGGAATTTAAATGCCCCCCGACCAGTGTTTCCTCTAAGGTGAACTAGCTCACAGCTTTTTAGCCTCCGGCTCACACATTTTTGTCTTTGCTCAGGAAGGATGGCTCCAGAGCCAACTGATTCATGCAGCAGCCAAATTGCTCGCTCACAACTTTAATGCCAGTAGCTCACAAAACAGAATTTTTTCTCACAAGACTCCACAGCTTAGAGGGAGCGTCGCGGCCCCGACATTAAAAATCCAGCCTTGGCTGGGAGGGCAAGGTATACATTCAATAAATAAAGAAATACTCCTGGCTACCGGCCCGCACATCTCTTATTTCATTTGTTGCCCCACCATTCAGCTAAAATCAACTCATAGGATTTTTTATTAAAAAAAAACCCAATAGAAATGGCATTAAAATTCAGTACAAATGTTATCTGGGGAGCTGAGAGATGGCTCTCAACTGGATCTCGGGTGCGAGGGAGAGGCGCCTGCCCGCCTCTGTCATCCCTTTGACAGCCGTCCTGAATGGCCGCTGAAAGCTTTTGCCTGTCTTGTGTAAAGTGGCTGTAACTGTCTCCTTCATCTCAAGGGTTGGTCTCTAGTTCAGTCTTTGCTGGTGTGATCCCCCCCCCCCAACGTCTACAGCCCTTGGGAACCTCCGTTGCAATTCTTCACATGTACGCAGCTGGTAAACCAACTGTCTCTTCTTTCACAGTCTAATAAAAACGTTGCTTTTCTTCCCCCTTAGTTCCCTTCTTTCTCATTCCTGTCAGCTTCACTTATCCCTCTGTCCACATTCAAAAACACAGACATGCATGGTCCAGATTTTCTGATAAGGTCTGTTTCTCTGTTTAAAAAAAACAAAAACCCAAACTCTGCAGGCTTTCCAAAGAACGTAGGCCAAGCTTCCTCGGCCAGCACTTCAGTTTGCTTACAAGCCATTCAGCCTTCGCCTCCACTGTGAAGAAGAAGAGTGCTTCCTTCTCCCTAACCCCAGGTCCAAATTTCCACTCCGCCACTGATGGTCACTGGCAATGTTCCCTCTAAGCTGTGGAGTCTTGTGAGCCAAAATTCTACTTTGTGAGCTACTGGCGTTAAAGCTGTGAGCGAGTGATTTGGCTATTGCATAAATTAGTTTGCTCTGGCGCCATCCTTCCTGAGCTGAGACAAAAATGTATGAGCCAGAGGCTAAAAAACTTTGAGCTTAGCTCACACTAACTCAGCTTAGAGGGAACACTGGTCACTGGGTAGGGTTGCCAAATGTTACCTACCTTTCCGGCGGGGGACTCCTGTGCGGCTCCCGGTGCGCATCACAGGGAAATGACGTCATGACGCCGGGCACGCTGGGGGCAGGGCCACAACCATACAAGGGAAAACCATAGAGTTTTCCCTTGTATGGCCCCGCCCCCAGCGTGCCCGGCGTCATAACGTCACTTCCCTGTGACATGCATGCTGGGGCCGGGTTCCCCCCGGGGCCCGATTCCCCGGCCTTGGAGAACGGGCCTCTGGGGCGGGGGGATTTCCGCCCCACGGGGGGGTTTGGCAGCCCCACGGGGGGATTTGGCAGCCCTATCACTGGGTGACCTTGGGCCAGTCACACGTTCTCAGCCTGACCTACCTTACAGGGTTGTTTTGAGGATAAAATGGAGGAAGAGGAGAATGATATAAGCTGCTTTGGGTCCCTACTGGGGGAAAAGTCAGTATATCAATTGTAATATACCCAGTTCATACCGCGTGGCCAGCTTGGGCTCCACGCGGTCAAGCACAAATGTTGAGCTTCGGTCAAAGAGACAATGGACTATGCGGATCCTAGCCCGTGCCAATCAGTGGGCTAGGTTCCCGGCCGAGAGCCTATGGAACTCTCGGCCACTGTAAATAACCTATTGGGAAGTGGGGGGTGTGTGTTTTGGGTGGCGGTTTCACAGGGAATATAAGCCGGCCTGCGAGCCGGCCAAAGTTGTCTTGTTCCTGATCGAATAAAGTACGCTTTGCTGAAATCACTCTCCATCTGCGTACTTTTCATTAATGAAATAAATAAAGCAATGGATAAAGTCTCTTTCCTGGCCTGCCATGTTCCTTCACCTAGAAGCTCTGTCATGCAGCGCCATTGCTCATTGTTGTTTCATATTTGGCATTTGAGACTTTTTTGGGGGGGGGACAGACATGAGTGGTCTCTGTATTTCTGTGAGCAAACAAACTAGGGGTGGGTGAGTGGGTGGGGGGATGGAGGGGGAAGGAAAGGCCCTGGAAAAGGGCCCAGCCCCCCACAGGAGATGCCTGGCCAGGATGAGGCCACGAGGGTGAATCCTTCACTGAGACAAGACCTCCTTCCCCACATCACCGGCTCATACCTGCCCCCTTTTTTTGGATTGGAGTGGCACTGGCAGGGGATACGGGCCCTGGGTTCAAGTGCCCCCTGTCAGGGTGGGAGTAACCCAGGGATGCCAAATTCCAGGTGGGGGAGGGGCAGAGATCTCCTGCTATTACAACTGCTCTCCGTACAGTAGGGATCAGTTCCCATTGAGAAAGTAGCCACACTGGAGGGTGGACTCTACGGCACTGTACCCTGTGATGTCTCTCCCATCCCCAAACCCCGCCAGTTTGGTGTGGTGGTTAACTGTGTGGACTCTAATCTGGGAGAAGCAGGTTTGATTCCCCACTCCTCCACTCGCAGCTGCTGGATGACCTTGGGCAAGCCACATTCTCTCAGAGCTCTCTCAGCCCCACCTACCTCACAGGCAGTGTTCCCTCTAAGCTGAGTTAGCGTGAGCTAGCTCCCAGTTTTTTGGCCTCTGGTTCACACATTTTTGTCTTAGCTCAGGAAGGATGGCTCCAGAGCAAGCTAATTTATGCAGTAGCCAAATCGCTCAATCACAACTTAAATACCAGTAGCTCACAAAGTGGAATTTTTGCTCATAAGACTTCACAGTTTAGAGGGAGCATTGCTCACAGGGTGTCTGTTGTGGGGGAGGGAAGGGAAAGGAGTTTGTAAACCGCTCTGAAAATCCGAGCAAAGGGTGGGGTATAAATCCAATCTCCTCCTCCTTCTCTTCTTCTTCCTCAGGCTTTACCCCCCAAATCTCCAGGTATTTCCCAACCCAGAAGTGGCAACCCTAGGGAGACTCCCCGCAGCCCTCAGGCCACCGGAACCCTTCCTGGCGCCCTTAATGCCAAAACACAGTTCTGAGTTACCTGTACACAGAGCATATTTATACTTCCAATTTACACTGGTTTAACTGTAAAAACATCCTACCCTCTTCCCAAGAATGTTGTGAACTGAACTTTGCCATGGTTCTATCAGTTTGTTTGCTGTTTTTACTGATTCAGGACCCTTCAGCGGGGTTTCTTGGTTAGGAGCCGAGGAATTCTGGTTTGAAACTAGATTTACATGTTTACACTTCAGTGGGTGCTAAGAAACCATTGCTGACACGTGACAGGAAATAGGATGACCCATCAAAAAGCAGACTCCTCAAGGGCTGAAGAAGACATCCTGACTGCTGTGACTTTCTGCCAATCTAATTTTTTGCCACCCTGTGTATAAAATAAAGTATGCTGTTGGACATGACGAATGGGAAGGGAGCCAGACTAGTGGGAATACTGGACAAAATATGCGTGAGAGAATCGATGTGTAACAGAAGCCTTGACTAGCAGACTTGGGAGATTTGGTGGGATTAATTCCATTTCCCACGGGGGGCGTGGAGCGACATCGTTAATTAGGCAGTCGCATAGCTGGTGAGCTCCCGAACCTACCCTCTTCCTAGCCACAAAAACAACTGACTGAGTCATTTTTAACGCTGAAAAAACCATGGGAAAAACTGGAGGAGCGAAAAATAGCTCTTCAAACAAAATTTCAGAATCTATGACTATTTATCTCAATCAAGATAGGCCAACGAGAGCCACGGGCACAAGAAACGAAACCGCACACAAAATGGCAACCGTGCCAGCCTCTCCCCAAAACGATGAAGCTCCAATCTGCAAAAGAGACCTAACTGAATTAAAAACAGATATTCAACAATTCTTCAAAGAATCAATGACTGACCTACTACGCCCAGTCCACTCAAAACTAGAGGAACTGGAAGAAGAAATAAAAGAAATCTCTACAACGGCAGAAGAAGCCTACTTGAATGGATCAGCGATGCAAGAAGAATAAAAACTTTACAAAACTCAGAAAAAGCCCTGAAAGAAAAAAATCATATCAATGGAAAACAGATGGGGACTCCAGAACCTGAAATTCTGCGGCATAGCAGAGAATGCTGAAGGTACGACAGATCTAGCACTATTTCTCTCCACATGGCTTTCTAAATCTCTTAACCTAGAAAATGGCGTTGCACCGGCAATAGCCAAAGCCTACCGCCTCGGCCCTCTAGCTTCAGCTGAACCGAATCGTCCCCGAGACATTTTAGTTCAATTCATATATATGCGCACGAGAGACTGAATCCTAAAGGAAGCACGCCAAAATGACAACTTAACTTTAATTGGAAAACAAATACAAATCCTGGGTATGAGGGATGTAGGATATCTTGAAATTGAAATGAGAAAATAATAAAGACCAGCGGATCTGGCATTGATTTAATCGGCGTGTGGATTGTAAGTGTTCCAGATTTCGATGGTCTGTGAGGACTTGGACCGGGTGACGAGCCCCTTCGAGATGGTGTCGCATTCCTTTTCAGCTTCTGTAATGCTCGCCTTGCAGGTGGGGTGTTCTGTCTGAGTTCTAGGGAACCGTGGGAGTGCTTTCGGTTCTCAGCTTCGGCTCTAACGGCCTGGTGCTCCTTCTCCCGCAAGCGGGAATGTGGCTAATTGGCCTAAGGAAGGGGGTGTGTGCATACGAATACCCTATATCCCATTATGCTTGTAGGGGTGACGCCATTCTTAACAGTGCTTTTGTTAATGCATCTATAGCTCTTCAATAAAGTATAACCTTTCTGTGAAGCATGTACTCAGTTGTTGGCTGTGGAACCTGACATTCGCCAGACTTCGAATGCTGCTTTGATAGCTAGTAACTCCCTCTCCCATATGGTATAGTTGCGTTCTGCTGGCGTGAGTTGGCGGGAGTAGTAGGCACAAGGCTGTAAAGGCTGGGTGCGGTTGTCCCGCTGAGAGAGAACGGCCCCTATGGCGACACTGGAGGCGTCTGATTCGACGGTGAAGGGGAGTTGGGGGTCTGGGAATCGTAGCAATGGACCAGAGGCAAAGCAGGTTTTTAAGGTGGTGAAGGCACGGTCTGTCTCAGGTGTCCATTGAAATGGTTGTTTTGGCCGAAGTAGACATGTCAAGGGTGTGGTTAAGGCTGCATAGGACGGAATGAATTGGTGGTAATAATTGGCAAAGCCGGGGAGTCGTAGGACATCCTTTCGATTCTGAGGGGCTTGCCACTGAAGAATGGCTTCCACTTCTCTCTCTTTGTTTGAAATCTTAAAAACACAAAAATATATTTCTTAGAAAACAAATATACGAGATCTAATCTGTGAGCCAAGAGCCGAAAATGGACATATTGGTATCAAGTAAAGTGGCAAAACTTCTTTTAAGTTTTTTCCCCCTGAAAGGTGTATTACATTTTAATGCAACAGCCTGTTCTGATGGTACTTTAAGCTTTTCATGATGTCATCAAGATGGCCAAAGTCATTTCCCTACTTTTTCTCATTTGAGCTAGTGAACCCAACTACCAATTTCAAATTTTAGAGCACTGTGGGAAAGCTAATAAATTCACTTACTAACATGTCTGGCGCAGGGGTCATTTCGTAGAAAAAGAGCTAGGGGAACTCATTAGCATAACTCATTAGCATATGCCACACCCCCTGACAGCGGGAGTGCAAGGAAGCCCCGCAAAGGCCCTCCCTGGCCCCAGGCAGGCAGGGGTGGGGAGAGGCAGGGAGGAAGCAACTTACCCTCCCTCTTCTCCTGCCTCCTCCTGGCTGAATGAGGGCCGGAAGCGGGGCAGCCGGAAGCAGGGGGTGGGGCTTCGTCATGTGCCCTGCCCCCCGTACCTCACCCGGGGGAACTGCGATCCCCCGCGATCCCCCCCGAAATGACCTCTGGTCTGGCGCAAAGGGCTGGCTACGGTGGCTGCACAGAGCCAGACAGCACCTCTCTGTTTCCTCCAGGAAGTCTATTTTCCCTGGAAAGTACTTGTTACTGGCAGGCTCCTGAGAGCCCGGGATCCCACGCGCAGTTCCTGTGCTCCACTTTCTTGCATGTCTCTCCCTCTCCCTCCCACAGCCTCCCAGGCTGGCAAGGGCAGAAAGGTAAGTTAATTAACTCCAGCGTAAGTTAATTGACTTTAATTAAATTGCCTTTAATTCGATTAGCCAATGCCCCCCAATAAATTTTAATGCCCCCTGATGTAAAAATTCCTGGCTATGGGCCTGGCTATAACTCCAGAGGATCTCCGGGTCCCACCTTGGAGGCTGGCATCCCTACCCTTTAGTGACTTTCTGCTTGCCCTCCCCTGAAACGTCTGCACAATCTATGCCTTCTGCCATTTCCCTCATCTATAAAATGAGAATGTAAACTCTGTGAGAGCAGGGCTCCTCCCTTCTCCTTCGGTATGATTTATATAAAAAACTGTTTTGTGTCCAAGTCTAAGTAAGACTATTAAAAAGGGAGCTGTTGTCTGGTTTTGCTGTCTCAGCTAAGTGCAGCCCACTTGAGAGGGGGGGTATTTCTAAGGCGCAAGCGCAACACAACCGATTCTTCTCCAGCACTGTTGTGTTCTAAATTGTATGCTTTCTGATGTCAGGGAAAAGCCCGTTCGAGATCTCCCAATGCCTTCTGTGCTTTGGGCTTCTCTCCCAGACTTATCCTGTGAACACGTGGGCAGTGTTTATGCAGGGCATTTTTATCCCACCTCCCCCCCCAAAAAAAAGGATTCCAGATCTGAAGCATCTCTGTGCTGGCCGAAGCAAACCCCGACTAATTCAGCTCAACGGAACTCACATCCTGCAGCGACTTCCGTCACAATAAATCTGGCCGTCTTCCAGGTGTCACAAGACTCCTTTGTGTTTAGTCTGTGGCCTTATTTGGAAGTTCCATTGATTTGACGCTACTTCTGGAGACAGCTCTGCCTTATAGCTAAGCAGAAGGAAATAAATATGGCTTGCCTCCCTCTATTTTTCCTTTCCCTCTGCCGCCCCACCAGCCACAGCCGGGACACTCACCTGGAACTTCCTTCTAGAGCTCGTTGTATTTCTTCCCACAATGAGCCTTACTCCTAGTTATATATAAGGATAAATAATAAATAAATAAATAAAAATTCAAACATCTGCCACTAGGGGGGCCTGTTGAACACAAGAGGCAACATCACTCACTGGTTTTTAACAGGAAACATGACCTAATCATACCTTTTTGCACCCAAAATAACAGAAAGGAGAAAAAATGGGTGGGAAACCACAAGACAACCCCCAGATTTATCCCACATAGATGACAGGTGGTTCTATATGGTACTGTTTCTTCCATCACCTGTAGTACGGAAGCTTATGCGCAGCATGACACTTTGTTGGTCTTAAACGTGCCCCTGGATTCAAACTTTGTTCTGCTGCTTCAGACCAACACGGCTGCCCCACCTGAATCTGTAGTACTCTTGTTATCCAAAATGGATTTAAAGGCATAACTCCCCAGAGCACATACAGAGCGTCTTGCCACTGGGACCAAAGTTTTGTTTGCTTTTTAATCAAAGGACTGGAATGTACACTCCCTTCTCTGAAAAAATTAAAGGTAAAGGTTTCCCTTGCTTGAAATCCAGTTGAATCCGACTCTAGGGGGCAGGTGCTCATCTCCGTTTCAAAGCCGAAGAGCCAGCACTGTCCGAAGACATTTCTGTGGTCATGTGGCCGGCATGACTAGATGCTGAGGTGCACGGAACGCTGTTACCTTCCCAACGAAGTGGTACCTATTTATCTACTTGCAAGTTCTTGCTTTCGAACTGCTAGGTTGGCAGGAGCTGGGGCCAGAGACGGGAGCTCTTAACCTCTGAGCCACCATGGATTGCTAAATCCCAAAGACCCTTTGTAGTGTGAATAGCAAGCAGAGCAATTCATGAAAACAGGAGACCTGGATCCCTTGCCCGTTACTGGTGCCATCTCTCTTACAGTGTTGCTGCAATAAAAAAACAACAAGGGGGTGGACATGATTTCCCCCCTAAGTTTGTGTGAACGAAGGTGGGCTAAAAATCTGGTGTGTGATACATGGCAGCCTTTTTTTTAAACCATCAAGTCGCAGCCAGTGTTCCCTCTAAGCTAAGTTAGTGCGAGCTAGCTCACAGTTTTTTAGCCATCAGGTCACACATTTTTGTTTTAGCTCAGGCGGGATGGCTCCAGAACAAAGTAATTTATGCAGGAGCCAAATCGCTCACTCACAACCTTAATGCCAGGAGCTCACAAAGGAGAATTTTTGCTCACACGACTCCAAAGCTCGCAGCCCGTTTACACCAACACGACTCGCAGCCCGTTTACACCAACCTCATTGGGTTTTCAAGGCAAAGAGACATTCAGAGGTTGGTTTGCCGTCACCTGACTCCATGTTGTGCCTCTGAACTTCCATGCTGGTCTCCCATCCAAATACAAACCAGGCCCCCAACCCAGCTTAACTTTCAAGATCTGACAAGACTGAGCGATCCTGGACTATCCAGGACAGGGCAATGGAAGCCCAGTGAACATTAATGCTTAGTTAATTGTTTTTTTAAAAATATTGTTATTCATTCAAATTTTCAATTGTTGTTATTCATTAAAAACTTTATCCATCGTTCCATCGGGAGGGGCCATGGCTTGGTGACAGAACTCCTGCTTTGGCCAGACCAGAAAGGGTCCTGGGTTCAATCACCGGCATCTCTACTTAAAAGGACCAAGCAGCAGGTGATGTGAAAGACCTCTACCTGCCGCTGCCCGTCTGAGTAGACGATGTTGACCTTGAAGGACGTGGTCTGATTCAGCATAAGGCAGGTTCATGTGTTCATGCTTGCTTTAATTTTACTTGCTTTAATTTCTTGTCCACCTTTCGCACAGAGACTCGAGGTAGATTACAAAGTTATAAAAGATAATGGGGAAAACAGTATACTACATACAATGAACAACACAATAAAACTGGGTTATACAAATCAAAGAACAATGACATAGCACCAGTATAATATATCACATAAACTCAATTTCTCAGAGAACAATGATCCAATAAACCGGATTTCACAATTAAAGTACAACCAACACAGAATAAAATATGTGTATATGTATATAACTCTGCCTGTGGGGTGTGTATGTGTGTGTACGTACGTATGTACGTACACACACACACACACACACACACACACACACGGCAGATCCCCCCCCCCAAC